GTTAAAGGTTTGCTGTATTATGTGAGACAACACCCAAAAACACCAATTTTTAAAGGACTCGATATAAGAGTCAGTTTGAGTAACTGAGTGGAGAGAGAGAGAGAGAGAGAGAGAGAGAGAGAGAGATTTCACATTTTGTCTATAATTGAATCCAATGTCCCTTTACTATGACTGCAGGAGTGAATGAATTTGCAATTGAGTTGAAGTGAAAGACAACCACAACTTCATATCATAAACAAAACTCTCTCTCTCTCATAAGACTCCTGTGTTTTATTCTTTGATTGTATTCTTTGGCGACTATTGTAATACTGTTTTATTCATTCGGTGCGTAAATAATCAAATGGTTGTGCGATAAGGCACGAGACTATTAGATTAGTCGACAGCCCAAACATTAGGGTTAATTGCATTGCATTGCCAACCATTCGGACCATAGATTGCCTCAAAGAGTGAGAGATTGAGTGAAATGTCGACGAAAAAGATGAGACCAAACATTGATTTGATGTGCAATCGATTTATTTGCATAAGTTTTTTGTGTATTTATTTGTTCAGTGAATCTGACGCTCAAACTATGCCTGAGTTTCCATAATAATTGCAATTCATATAAAAAGTATTGCAATTTGTTAGTAGTTTAGCACTGATTGGTTTGAGAGCCCTCTCTCTCTCTCCCTCCCTCTCTCTCTCTCTCTCCTACCTATCTATCACTCTATCAGTCAAACTAATTAATGATTCTTAATATCTATTATTACGATCCAAACCATTGAGAGATCTTTTTGTTATTTTTATTAATGAATGGCAAAAGAAAAGCACAACTAATTGTGTATCAATTCATAAACGATTCTCTCTTTTGATTTCTATTTTTGTTACAAATAAAGCAATTTTTATGGCTTCTCTTCACAACAGAGAACCAGAATCTGTTTTGATAGCAATTGGTTAGATTGAGTTGAAATCAAAATAATTACTCAAAACAGACAAATAATGATATTTCAACTCAATTAACAAAAGGAAAAGTTAGTGAAAAAACGGAAATTGAAGTATTCGTGCACTAAAGCCAATGGTTATGTGCTTTACATGTGTTCAAAATGCTTGCATTTTCTCTCATTTATCGCTAATAGTTATTCCCAAATACAGTCATGTTTTGCCGTTTACTTCAATACAGAAGCTCTGAATAAATGTTTCTTTTAGTGATGAACTTCAACACCAAAACTGTTTCTAAATATTTAGACAAAACGCATTGAAACAGATAATCAGAGAGAGAGAGAGAGTTTTGTTTATGATATGAAGTTGTGGTTGTCTTTCACTTCAACTCAATTGCAAATTCATTCACTCCTGCAGTCATAGTAAAGGGACATTGGATTCAATTATAGACAAAATGTGAACATTTTAATAATTTGTTAACATTAACAGAATCCCTGGTTTTGTAGCGAATGTGTTGAGCATTTTGTGCCAGAATTTTACTATTTGTTTATGAAGGGCACGAAAATATGAGCTAACTGTGCAATACTGGGATAACTGATATACTCGGGAACAACACTTCTCTGACTTGTTATTTCTTGTACTTAAACACAAACCCATAAGAAAAGCCGCCTTTTATTGCGAAGATTTTTGCTTCAAATCTAACATTTCCAACAAATCTAACGTTTCAGTTATTGAAAGCAGATGTTATGCATCGCTATCTTATCTACTCCTCAGCTCTCTCTCTCTCTCTCTCTCTCTCTCTCTCTCTCCCCATCACAACACTATGTCATACATGCCATACATCCCTGTGCTCTCTTCCCTCCTTTCCTTCATCTCATTCACATTTCACATTTTGTCTATAATTGAATCCAATGTCCCTTTACTATGACTGCAGGAGTGAATGAATTTGCAATTGAGTTGAAGTGAAAGACAACCACAACTTCATATCATAAACAAAACTCTCTCTCTCTCTCTCTCTCTCTCTCTCTCTCCATCACAACACTATGTCATACACGCCATACATCCCTGTGCTCTCTTCCCTCCTTTCCTTCATCTCATTCACACTTTTGTTTGACTAATAAATTTCTTGTACTTCTTATGCCATTTCCGATGTGTTGTACGAAAAATAAATTTGAGAGAAACGACAAAACGAAAGGCTATTATTCAAAGAACAGATGAGATTCTGTACATACGATACACTCTCTTATTTGCACTCATTATTATCCAAACATATTCTCATTGTTTGACGAACTAATTGGATGATAATCTCCGCACAAAATGCACTAAACGTTAGCACATTTGTGTCAAATAACCCTTACTTTAAGTTATAATCTTAATTACATTTCTCTCATTTTTTGTTTAAAGTCTCTATTAAAATATTTTTATTATAACGGATTATATTTTAATACTGCTAATAAACAATCTTTATTGACCTTTAAAATTGAATTTATTTTATATTTAATATAAACATTTTGATAAAAATTATTATTCTAATATTTATGAATTTATGTTTTCAGGATTAACATGTAATTATCTTTTTAATTAAAAACTCTATTAATTTTGTAATTTTAGATTATATTTCTATTACAGTAATTCTTTATAACTGTTTTATTATTTTAGATATTTAAGATTATCATTAAATTAAGCATTTGTCATATGAGAGATTTATTTTGGAAATCTAAATATGAATTTAATTTTAATGTGATCTATATAAATAAATAACTGTACAATGATTCATTTGTTATGCCAAAAGTATTTGATATCCAAATTTATAGATAATAAAATTGTATACAAAATATCTGTGCAATTATACGAATCATAAAACAATATTTGGTAATAAATTATAATTCAAAATATGACACGGATTTAAGGGGTTAAGTAATTTTTAAAATTGATTTTGTTTATCAAATATATTGCTATTTATTGCACTTAATCTTTAGTATTGTATGACATAAACGACACAATAATGTGACTTAAATATAATAAAGGATTTTTGCTATAAAAAGAATTAATACTAGAAGTAGTGTATAGTATTGGCTTTCCCTCTGTTCGGCTGTTTATTTCATTGCCTGCCATTCAATAGCTCTTATCGCTGTTAAAACACTTGTTTTATATTGTGTTCATATTATATACCACTCAAAGACTTACCATAATCTTAAGGCTCTCTTCCTATGGTTTTTTCGTTCAAAATTTATTATTTTCTACAAAAAATGTCTTTTATTATTAACTAATAGATTATATTTTTCTGGCAATACTGTATACGACAATACTATGGAGTATATGAGCGTTATATTTATGTGTTAACTATTCATCAAACTGTCTCCGGTATTGTGTTCAGTGAACTCCCTTTATATTGAAATAAGAAAAATATTATTTATTAGATTTAAGTAGTATTTGACATAATTTTGCGATTTCTGGAAACAAATATTTAAATAGACTTTCTTTTTTCAGACAACATTTGACTGAATAAAACATCATTTTATATATAAAACACAAGCCATTCACTCATTCATTTGAATATTTACTTTATTTTTGTGAATTTTCAAAACTATTTCTTTTATTTGTTTTCCACAAAAATACATCTCAACTCTTTTGAAATTCAATTCAGAAATATCTTCTGGACAAATTATGTCCAAACATTTATTCTCTCAAATAGCAATATATTTCAAATAAAATCTATGTTTGAATAAAAGAGACGTCTGTTTATATTTTATGGCAATATTCAATTGAATTTGTGACTATATTATTGATTTCCTGAGATTTTCAATAAATGACTCCAAAATTTGCTGATATTTTTATTTAGACAAATGTTTCAACACATTATGAAACAAATGTTCAATAAATAAAAATATATTTAATGTTTTAAAATTATTATTGATTTCCTGAGATTTTCAATAAATGACTCCAAAATTTGCTGATATTTTTATTTAGACAAATGTTTCAACACATTATGAAACAAATGTTCAATAAATAAAAATATATTTAATGTTTTAAAATGTTTTCAAGTTTTAATATTTCTTAATTAAGCTACTGGGGTAATTGGGTTTATTATTTTGTCATAAAAGTTTACTCAACAAGTTTTTAAAAATATTTTTTGTAATAATAAATATTAGATATTTTTCTATTTATTTACAATCACTTAAAATGCAATGAATATTGAAATGTGAGCACCAATTGGTCGAAAAGCAATTGAATTAATAATTTACTTAAATTATAATAATTTAGTATTTGTTTTGTATAAAATATTTACAAACAAAATTTATTCTTTGCTTTATTATTATGAAGTCTTTTATAGTAATAAAAGTTTATTTTTATAGCAATTTTATTGCATTCATTATATTCTTAGTCTTACTTCCAGACAAAAGCAAAAAGAAATTGAGTTAAACGAAAATAATGGGACAAAAACTTATCTCAAATTATATTTGTTATTCTGATGTCGTATAACAACACATAAAGTTTTTTGCCTAAATACTAATTTTATGTTACACCATAGTATACTATGGTAGCTGCTCGGAATCACTTTATAATTAATTTAAATAACAATAATAGACTAATTAATAACAAAAATTTGCTACTGTTTGAAATTTCGATAAAATACATTTTAGAGTAGATTGATAAGAACTGTGTTTAATAATGTCTATTTTAATATTAATATTAAATTATACTTAAATGAAAATGTGGTAAAAGTTATTAATATATGGAAAGAGGAATAAGAAAAGAGAATAATTTGAAAAATTTTGCTGATTTTGTAGTTTTTGGAGCGAAAGCCAAAAATAACTTAATTTATTCGTTATATACTTATAGTGAAGATCCTCTTCTCAGTTGTGTTTATGAGTTCTCAATCTTTTTGTGTTATCTTTGCTTCACTTACTTCTCCTAATTTACTTGTGTTAGAGAAACACAAATAATAAGACATTTTTGGCGACTGAAGACAGGGGTTTGAAAATAGTTAAAACTTTTGGTGCAATATATGAATGAATGGATGAGAGAATGAGATTGAGATGAAGACAGATATTTGCAAACAGAATATTATTGATGAATAAAAAATGATATATAAATTAATGACTATTTGTGTGTTAATTGCAGAGTTGACGACTACGGTGATAGGTGTGACGGGTGGAAAGGTGGCCCTCCCGTGCAACATAACTCCCCCCTCGTATGACGACGCCGTCTCTCTAATCCTTTGGTACAAAGACGAGTCCACAACACCTATCTATAGGTCTGACCGCAAAGCCTCATAAATACACAATAACTAATAATTTTTATGTTAATTACTGTTTGGCACAAAAAATATGTTAATTAAAAAGAAAAGTGCAATACTTTCGACGAAAAGCTTAGTTTTCGGATTTTTTGGCTTTTATTTGCAAATACTAATTAAACTCACGAATTATTACAACGGAATCAACAAAGAATTTCTAATTATATTTCCCTATAATTATAATCTTATATCAAAAAGCCATATATTTGCCCAAATATTTTCCTATCACTTCTCGAATACTATCTCTTAGTTTAGATTTTTCACTCTTTGATACAAAAAATATAATTTTATTTCAAATGAAAGCCAATGTGAATAGAGTCTTATTATCAGTAGCCGTGACTCGTATTAATGGGTTTATGAGTTTATTTAATCGCATTTTAGCCCTAAATGACAAAATTAAGCGAATTTTATGCAAACTCGTAAAACTAGTCGACTGGTGTGTCTGTCCTTTATATCGACGCTTCGGTATTTGTGGTATATCTCTAGCGCACAGGTATTATAGCTGGTAATAATGGTTGTGCACATTATGCTATCGTTTTCTAATTGCCTGCAATTTTTCATCATATGAAAGATAATTTTGGCAAATATTTTCGTTTTGAATAATATTTTTGCAAATTATATTAAAACGGAATGAAAATTGTTTCCGACAAATTTTAAACCAATTTTTTGAAAGCATTTCAGGAATGTTTAAATCACATAAAGATTTGAATCGATTATTATATTTTCATTTTGTTTTCCATATTAAAGAAAATTATAATAATTTGATATAATCTGATATCAAATTAGTTTTTTGCGTACAAAATATAATACCAATCCTTTTGGGAAATATATAAATTATTTCATTGAACTTAATATAGAATTTGAGTTCAAATCAAAAATAAAGAGTTGAATCTCTCCATCAAAACAACATTTACTTAACAACTGATAAAATGATTATCAGTTTTAATCAAATTTTAATAGCCGGCAATATATTTGCGAAATACATACGGATTCATATGAATAGCAAATTAAGTAATTAATCAGATTATAATGAAAAACATGTAGAAAATTTATATTCAAAAAAGTGTCTAAAAACCCACAAATGAGTTGATTAAAGAGATATACACACAGAATATATGGCAGACGTAGGCTTAAGTTTTTTGATGGAAATAGTATTAAGTAATAGTAATAACGTTATAAGTAAGAAGTTCTTAGCTTACAAGTAATTACCATAATATATATCCTCTTATAGTACTTATTTTGGGCCTAATTTTTGCGCTCCTCTTATATAAGTATATCAATGTTTTGCTTCTTTATTGGCACTAATTTTTACGCTTCACTTCCCTCTCAATGAATTAATGTGTAAATTAATGAAAGAGTAAATTAGCTTTTTTGACGATTTGTTTTGTTTATCATTTTCTCTTTGGTTTATATAATCTATTTGTGTCGTCAATAGTCTGGACGCGAGGAAAGGCAACTTAGATCAGGCGAGACACGCGTCTGAAGATACCCTGATATCGCGATCGTATATGAATACCATTCAAAGACCGGCACATTTGATGGTAGAGTTGCTGTCGACAGAAGATGCCGGCGAATACCGGTGTCGCGTAGACTTCAGGAAAGCCAGGACTAGAAACTCGGTTATCTTTCTTGAAATTATCGGTAAGTACTAGACGTCTGACTAAACATATTCGCTCTTATGTTACGTTACTATCCTTTTTGAGCGCATTTAGTAGTGTTAGTAAGAGATCACTGAAGAGTAGGTCTTGTCTTAACGTATCGGTTCCGCTCCGACACTCTTTCGACACTTTTGTTTAAAATAATAAACTCTTCACTTCTTCCCCATATTAATAACAATCACTTATTTTTGAATTACTTTTGGTTTTTAAACTCTATTTTGCTATTTTTGAAGACAAGATTTTGTAAACTGAATATAGCGTATAATTTATTGCAATTCATGCAATCAAACTAAAAAACAAAACAATAATTAAGTTATAAAATTTTTAACATTTTAATATCGGTATTATTTTTTTTGTATTTCTATCTATTATAAGATATCATCGAAATTATTAAGGAATTCAAATTGAGATAATTTGTACAGTTCTTCAGACATACCATAGACAGTAATCGTTATCATTAAAGATAGTTTTTTAAAATCGATTACAAAACTAGTATATAAATAATAATAAAAATAACAGTTAAGGAAAGTGGAGATCATGTATTTTTATTTATATCTAAATGTATTCACAAACCATTTAAAAGTTTAAATTGGAGTAAATAAACGAGGAAACTATTAGTTTTGTTTTGTTATTCTTAGAAATTTTAGGGAAAACAAAATAAATACTAATTTACAAAAAATAAAAGAAATGATAATATAGTCTTATCTGAAATGTTAATTCGATAAAAATATATATACCGTAAAGAGAATGGGAGTGAAGGGAGGGTAGGGATAGGGAGACGTTAGAGAAAGGGATGAGTGTTTTAATGCAGAAAAATAAGAGCAGAAAAGGAAAAGTAAATTCAAGCGAAAGTGGTTTCATGTGATAAAAAAAGGAAAGCATTTTGTAAAGGAATCCCCAATTCTGTCATTTTCTAAACCGTTCGCACGATTTAACTTTATGTTTAACTTTATGACCACTTTTTTATTGCTTACAAAACAAACACTTTTTCTATCTATCAGTTCCACCCGAGAAACCAGTGATTATGGACCCCAATGGGGAACCGCAGCCCTCACTCATCGGGCCCTACAATGAAGGCGATCGACTCGTACTGGTGTGCGAAGTCGAGGGCGGAAAGCCCACCCCATCCCTGACCTGGTGGCGGGAGTCTGTACTACTCGACGATAGCTATGAGATGATAGGGAACGGAGGGTCGGTTCGCAACGAACTCGAGATACAGTCGCTTCAACGGCACGACCTGATGGCTGTGTTCACATGTCAGGCCTCTAATAATAACATATCAATGCCTACCTATTCGGCCGTCAGTGTCGACCTCAACTGTAAGTGTAGTTTTGTTCACAATTTTGCGATCGTTTCTCACATTTACAATCATTTTTGCATTTTTACAAAATATTTTCGAAAGCATTTAAATGCAATGTTTAAAGCGATCTTTTGTGTAGAGATTCTTAGGTTTTGCTTTTTTGTTGTAATATTTCCCCACTTTTTTGCTCCCATTATGGAAAGCCTCTCAACGTTAGAGCCCATGAAAAATGTTTACTCCTCTACTGTATGTCACCTATGGTTTGCATACAGAGCTGTTAAATAGAGTCTTATGTATGTATTGTATTATATTTGGTGGTGAAAAGCGACCAAATATTGTATTTCAACGATATTTTCGCCATTATTTTCATTACAACAGCCGTCGCTCACACTCTCATTCATATGAAGTATTAATTTCTAAAAATGAATCATATTTTAAACCAACCGATCGATCAAACTCTTCACCAAAATTTGTTGTCAATCCAATTGACACAACAAATAGAGATTTATTAAAATTTATTTGATTTTCATTTTGAAAATGCAAATGAAGTGAAAGTTTAATAGAGAGACACATAAAAAGAATTACTGGATTTGGTGCACAAGTATTATCCAGTAGTTGAACACAAGTAGCAGAGAGAGAGAGAGAGCGAGAGAGAGAGAGAGAGAGACTGATTCTTACGCTTCACATAATAATGACAATGATTTAGGATTTGACTGAAAGCTGACGACAATTGGACCAAAACTTATAGCGATTTTTGCACTTTTCGTTAAACTTAAAGACGACTTTCTGTTCAACAATTCAAAGCCAAAAAATATGCGATTCATCAAAAAGAATGAAAAATAAATTTTTTAGGTGTTCCTCACTCTTAGTACACAATACATATTGCAAACACATATTCTGGACAAACAATTCAATTCTTGTTTTTTGTTATATTTTTGGCCAAATCTCTATTCCATGTCTTTCATCATATCAACAACAAAAGTGATATAAAACTAATGCATTAGTTATTACGGGAATTACATTTTCTATATGTTTGCCGATAAGTTACATAAAATATATTGTCAGTTCATTGCCTCAAAATAAGTGCAAAATTTGTGTCACAATCGCAATGAATAAACAGAATAATAATAATTCTGGCGATTTCTGCACTTTTTTAATTCACTTCACTTTGTATTTGTATTTTGCTATACAAAAGGCTATTATTTTATTTTCTGGTTTTACTCCTACTTTAAGATATTGATTGAAATGAGTTTTTTCCAAACATTTGTTATTTGCAATTGAATGCAATATATGCACACATATTCACTGTTAGAGAGCATATGGATGTGTTTTGCACCGAACGGACATTTATGATGATTACAGCAATATTTGTGAAATGTATAAAATGTAACATTTATGAGGTTTAGTAACTTTACTCTTCACTAAATTAGTTTTTTCACCGCTTTTTATCTATTATTTAAGTTTTTATTGCATTAGTTTTTAGACGCTAACCTTCACGGGACCATTCAATATGTACGTACTTTAGTCCTTAGGGGTAGGGATCATAATTTTCAATAAGCCATGCGTTGTAGCTATGGAAAAATTAATGAAAAGGGTCATTTTTCAAGTTGTCTATGTTCATATTATTGGATGGCTCACTCCCTCCCTATGCGACTGTAACTACACTACCTGTGCGTTACCCCCAACGCATTTATAAATAAATTAATACTTTACTAATATTTCTGTCGTCTTTTGTTAAGATAAGAGTATTTTATCTGAAAATGGAGTGAAATATAATTAATTTTATTTATTTTCTTGCTTTCTTTCAAATAAATTAATAACAAATTTAATATTATTTTTATACTATTTACAAAATTTTTAATAAAATTTACTATAATTAAATAAACTAACTTATAATATAATATAATTTTATTTTTTATTAATGCGAAGGAATTGTAATTTTTATAACACTTAAAAGTATTTTGAAACTATTTTTTATTTATTATTCATGAAAAATTAATCAAATACTAGATTAAAAGTTATGTGCATTTATATAGAAATTTAATGCATTTAAGAAAAATAGTCTTTAAATCTCCAAAATATTAGATTTCTGTATATATATGTTACACGAAAGTATAGTTCGTTTCATTTTAAACACCGAATTATAAGCTCCGGTATTAAGTTTGAGCTCAACTCACGATAGCCTTAAAAATAGCGTAAAGAGTATTACATCTCTCTCTCTCTCTCTCTCTCTCTCTCGCTCTCTCTCTCTCTCTCTCACTCACTCACTCTCTCTCTCCCTCTTAAAGACCTTTTCAGTGCTTTCAATCATATACGATTTGATAGAAAGCTATGAAATGTATGGATTGTATTAATGCCTTGAAAGCGGAAATATATGATAAAAATGAACTCTAGTTTTAACTCATATTTTTCTAACGCCTTAAAAAGAAATAAAACATTGCATTACAATCACCACTACTTTCAGTGCATTTCTGTCAGTATTATAGCAATCATAGACACGACTGGACCGCAACTCAGAGCTTTGTTTCATGCGTTGGGATCTACTTTTCATGGCTTGATATCACCGCAAGAGTCACGCCATTAAACCCAACACATCCCTGCAATACAGACAGTGTATACCAAACACCAAAAAATATTGCCAACGAATCCAATCGTACTTTTATCCGATTTAATGCCATTTCATGAAATAAATACCTTTTTCCCGAAAGTATCAAAAACTCCAGAAATATATATAAAGATTTCCATTTAGAGTATAATACAACCGATTTCTTATTTTTCACTCTTTTCGCTAAGAATAAAGATCTGATTCCTAGCGCTTCATACAAATACATTATATTAAAAACCAATGTCTTTCTGATGGCATGACATTTGAAATATTGTCTCAACACTAGAGACACAAATAGAAAGGGAATCGGCTCTAAAACGTGTAGTATTTTGCCATTACATCACATTAATATCAGCTTTTGTTTCAGTATCTTCTCACTGAAAAATAAATGAATGAATGAATGCATAAAAATTTCTATAAATATTCCAAAAATGACTTATTTTTATTTTTAGTACAACAAAACATTTTATGGCATTAGATATGCCATAAAGAGATGCGAGAGAGAGAGAGCGAGAGAGAGAGAGAGAGAGAGATCTTATTTTAATTTGTAGGGAAAGTGGGGGCGAAATGAGGAAAAGAGTGGATATTGTGATCAAAATTTAATCGAAAGAAAATTTTAAAAAGAAGAACAACTGAAGTGAGAATAAAATATATTATTCTTTTGATGTAAAGTTTCTTTACTCTAAAGGATAACATCAGACATGAAAACAGTGAGAGAAGAAAATGTTTGCTTTTAGACTCGAATAATCTGTTGTACAATAAATTTCAAGAATTCAAAAAAACATTCAAAACATATTTTGTTTAAAGTTTTTTCTCGTGAAATATTGAGATTTTTTTTATCAATTTTGATGCAAAAAATATTTGACAATTTTATGATTGGATTTGAATAAAAAAATGTCTTATATATATATATTTCGTTCAACGAATTGATTGACAGATAATTTCATTGCTATTTAATAACAATTTTCTATTACACGGCTAAAGGAAATGAAAGATTAATTGCTTTATTTCTTCAACACATAAAATATAGCTTTTATACCATTTCTTTAGCGCAACGTTTAGCAAAAATTAAACCCAATTTCGTACGAGTTTTATATATTCAATACAACGAGAGATGTGATGAATATATTAATTAAAGGCTTTTCTTATCGTTTGTGTGTTTATAACAGATTTAATCGCAAAATAAGTTTTTGTTTGGCTCTCGACTTGACGTCTGCCGGCATTTGTTGCGGACAATACTGTCACTCATTTACTGTTGACTCCAATATATACTCATTTATTTACTCTACTAAACACTTTTGTATAGTTTGTGAACACAATTTTTCAATTATTTTTAAGTCAAAATAAAGTCAATACATTTTTTTCGGCAGATAAATTACTTATAAAATATTTGTAATATTTTCGTAACACTCGCTCTATTTGAGCAGAAAATTGGTG